TTTTTATCTGGGAAAATTCCCATTTGTATGTGGGAAAAAATTCCCATTTGTATGTGGGGAAAAATTCCCATTTGTATCTGGAAATATTCCCATTTGTATGTGGAAATATTCCCATTTTTACATGGAAAAACTTCCCATTTTTATGGGATCTGTGAAATCAGCCCCTGTGGGTTTGTGATTTATGGGATCTGTGCAATCAATCCCTGTAGATTTATGTTTTTGGGGTCTGTGAATTCAACCCCTGTGGGTTTGTGGTTTTTGGGGATCTGTAGGAAAATCAATTCCCTGTGGGTTTGTGATTTTATGGGATCTGTGCAATCAGTTCCCTGTGGGTTTGTGATTTATGGGATTTGTGAATTCAATCCCTGTGGGTTTGTGATTTATGGGATCTTTGAATTCAGCCCCTGTGGATTTGTGGTTTTTGGGATCTGTGAATTCAATCCCTGTGGGTTTATGGTTTTGGGATCTGTGCAATCAATTCCCTGTGGGTTTGTGATTTATGGGATTTGTGAATTCAATCCCTGTGGGTTTATGAATTTTGGGATCTGTGAATTCAGCCCCTGTGGGATTATAGTTTTTGGGATTTGTGAATTCAATCCCTGTGGGTTTATGAATTTTGGGATCTGTGAATTCAATCCCTGTGGGTTTATGGTTTTTGGGATCTTTGAATTCAATCTCTGTGGGTTTATGGTTTTGGGATCTGTGCAATCAGCCCCTGTGGGTTTGTGGTTTTTGGGATCTTTGAATTCAATCCCTGTGGGTTTATGAATTTTGGGATCTGTGCAATCAGCCCCTGTGGGTTTGTGATTTTTGGGATCTGTGCAATCAGTTCCCTGTGGGTTTATGACTTTTGGGATCTATGAATTCAATGCCTGTGGGTTTGTGGTTTTTGGGATCTGTGAATTCAATCCCTGTGGGTTTATGAATTTTGGGATCTGAGAATTCAATCCCTGTGGGTTTGTGATTTATGGGATCTGTGCAATCAATTCCCTGTGGGTTTATGATTTTTGGCATCACTGAAGGATTTCCTGTCCCTCCCCAGCCCCGTGTACGAGATGCTGAAGAGGAACCTGAGCCCTGCTGCCCTCCCAGGTAGGTTGGTCCCGTGCCATAAATGTTGCTCTCACCTGGTAAGTACCAAAATGCAGGAAAACCCGAAATCCTGTGGCTGCAGGAGGAATAAACTTCTCTCAGGAGCTTTCCCAAGCAAATCTCTCGGAGTTTGTGTCTTTTCTGTGTGCCAGGAGCTGTTTGAGTGGTGCCAAAAAAAAAACCAAAAAAACAAAAAAACAAAATTTGGGCCAAGGTTAAATCCTGAAATATTCAAATCGATCTTCCATCAATCCAAATCAATTTTTTTTTCAGAGCTGCCAATTCTTGCTCTCACCTCATTTTATATTTTCAGCATCTCTAAAATTTTTCAAGGTTTTGATTTTGAACCTTGCAGATTCCCCAGCTTCGTGAGAGGAATCAAAATTCAATTCCATCAGAATGAAAATTTATTCTCCTTAAAAATTAATCAATTTTAAAATAAAATTAATCTGAGCTGGGGTGACTTCCCTTGAAACCAGTTCCTGGGAAAAATAAAAATAAACTCCACTGGCAGAGCTGTGGATTTTTGTGCCACATTTCCCATTTTTTAAAACATAAAATAGATTTAATCCACAGCTGTGGGAGTTTGTACCACATTTCCAATTTTTTAAAAGCAGATAAAATGGATTTAATCCACAGCTATGGACTTTTGTGCCTCGTTTTCCATTTTTTCAAACAGGTGAAATGGATTTAATTCACAGCTGTGGACTTCTTTGCCTCCTTTCCAATTTTTTTTAACAGATAAAGTGGATTTAATCCACAACTGTGGAATTTTGTGCCACGTTTCCCATTTTTAAAACAAATAAAATGCATTTAAACCTTTAGGACGACTCAGTGGAAAAATTAAAAATTAAACTAAAATTCAAAACCTGGCCTTAAAGAGTTCCATTTCCAACCTTGAATTTTCTTTTTCACAGAAGATTCTTCAAAAATATTTTGATTTCTTTTCTAGAAGAATCTTTGGAGCTCTTTTTTTCTTTTTTTTTTTGCACTCTTTACCTGTAGTAAAATGCTGTGAGTGCTGTTCCCAGGCAAAGCTGTGAGTGAGAGCTGAGCTTTCCCAGGCCAATCCTGGCACTGGGCCTCCCTTAAACCTGGCTCAGGAAAAGCTTTTCCTAACACTGAGTTAGACCTGCCTTTGTGTGAGTGGGGCCCAAACCAACCAAGCTTGGCAGACCAGACCTTGGAGTGCACAGGGAGGGAGGATCCAGCTGTTCTCCTTTCCCTTTTCCAGCTGTTTTCCCTTTTCCAGCTGTTTTCCCTCCCCTTTTTCCAGCTGTTTTCCCTTTTCCAGCTGTTTTCCCTCCCCTTTTTCCAGCTGTTTTCCTTTCATTTTCATCTGTTGGTTTTCCTTCAGCCCAGCACAGGATTTACTTAATTTTTCTTCCTTCTTTTCTTCTTTTTTCTTCTTTTTTCCCCCCTCTTTTCTTTCCTATTTTTTACCCCCTTTCTTTCCTATTTTCCCACTTTCTTGTCTTTGCCCCTTTCCTTTCCTCATTTCCCCCCTTTGTCTTTCCTCGTTTTCCCCCCTTTCCTTTCCTATTTTTCCCCTTTTTCTTTCCTATTTTTCCCCCCTCTTTTCTTTCCTATTTTTTACCCCTTTTCTTTCCTATTTTTCCCTCCCTTTCTTTCTTAATTTTCCCCCTTTCCTTGTCTAATTTTCCCCCCTTTTCTTTCCTCATTTTTCCCCCCTTTTCTTTCCTAATTAATTTTCCCCCCTTTTCTTGTTTAATTTTCCCCCTTTTCTAATTTTCCCACTTTCTTGTCTTTCCTGATTTCCCTTCCTTTTCTACTCTTCCCCTTTTTCTAATTTCGCCCCTTTCTTGCCTCGTTTCCCCCTTCCTTGCCCACTTTTCCCAAGTCTGACTCCCTCAGGATCCATTTAGGAATCCCTCACCTTCAAGTTGCTTTTTCTGGGAAACCTTCCAGCACCTGGAGGATTTCCACTCCCTGAAAATCCCCTTTTGGAAGGAGGAATCTCCCTGTTTTCCACCAGGGATTCAAATCCCAGCAGCTGGAAGGTGATGGAAGCAGGAAAAAAAAACAGGAATTTCTGCATCCCTGCCATCTTTGATGCTGGAATTTTGCTCCATTTAAAATGTGGAATTTTTCTGCCATTTCCCAGCTCTTCCCTATCCCTGTGTGATTTTCCTGGTGGCAATCAGCCTCATCCAGGAGGGAATTTCAGTTCCAAAGGGAACAGGCAGGAACCAGCCTGGCATCTTTTGTTCTCTCTGTTCAAAGCCAGACTCAAAAAAATTCCTGTTAATTGGATTTCCTGTTCATTTAGCTCAGCCTTTTAATGAATTCTTTTGGAGCAGCATCATCATCAGCTGGATCCAGCTGTGTCCAGCTTGGAATTTTCCCTTCTTTGCTCTTTATTCCTTCAGGGAGGGCAAAAATCCTCAGGAATTCCCAAAAAAAAAAAAACCCCTTTCCAGGTGGGATTCCCTCTGGAATCCTGGTGTTTGAGGAATGGGTCTGCAGTCATTCCCTGCAAACCATCAGGAAACTGAACAAAAATGGGAA